GGATATTGTACTGATTCTACTTTCTTTGTAACACATCACTTCACTTGAGTCTTCCTTTAGATTTTTGTAGCCTTTGTATTTGTCGATTCCTTGGACATTAGAGCAGCCCATTAGGTATTAAGGGATTTACTAGGATATTACAAAGAACACAGTGGTGACAGGTGAGGGACAATACTTTAACAAACTGAATTGCAAGTTTACAAGACTGTAGGCTGATAGTGCTTTTCAGTTTGGTCCTTTAAACTGGGTCCTGTATTCCAACCTCCTTATAAGGAGTTAGGTCTTCTCCCCACCCCCCCAATACCTCTTAACCCCCCCCCCCCCCCCGCTACGCCCTTACCACTGACTGATTCCCCTCTGTCAAGTACCTTCTTCAGGTGTTAATTTTTCTCCAGCACTCCATGAGATAGATTTGGTCTGGCCAAGCTATTATTGCATCAGTTTTTCAGAGCCTGCTTCACCAGCATCAGTCCTGAGGGTTGGGGTCTAGTGCATGACAATACCCCCGGTTTCATCTTTCCTCATGCCTCCCTTAAGACTTTCTAGCCATAGATCAGGAGATGTCCCCAACTCTAGCTCCAGTTAAAAATTCCATATCTAGGGGCAGCTAGGTGGTGCAGTGGATACAGCAGCAGCCCTGAAGTCAGAAGGACAAGTTTAAATCTGGCCTCAGACCAAACACTTGACACTTACTAGCTGTGTGACCCTGGGCAAGTCACTTAACCCCAAATGACTTTTAAAAAAAAAGAATTCCATATCTAGCCTCTGAGGCTATCTTCCTCTTAGGCTTCAGGCTTTGAGCCTCCCTCAAAATAAATCCAATTGTTTTGGGATCTAGTTGAAGATAAATGGAAATCATATACAAAGGGAACTAGAAAACTTAATTTAAAAAACTACTATAAGGTTGAACGATTTCATCACTATTTTTAGTTTTGTGCGCGTCCTCATTAAACTTTTCAAAGCTTGCTTAAAATTATTCTTTTGTCTGTTATCTCTTGCCCAGAGCAATCTCATCTCAAGATGAGATTTTGATGCTCTGGCCTTTGCAATATTTATTCCTCCAACGTCTGGCTGATCCCCTGGCCTACTTGAGACAAATCTCTCACCTCCTCAGTTTATAGAACCTGGCTCTTTGCCCTGAGGAGGTATCACCACTACTATGAATTGTTCTATCAATTGTTTGAGGCTGGCAGGGGTACCAATGAGTCAAGTGTTACTAGTGAAAGAAAAAAGTAAAATCACATGTAGAGTCATGGATGGTTGCAGTAAAACTGATTTATGAAGCTTGCGGAAATTTTCTCATTACTTTATAGGCACACAATATATATATCATATCCGGTAACTTTTCATTGCCAACTTGCATTGGTAGACAGTTTCCTCACCCTAGAATTCCATATACCAATGAAATCAAAGCTCTAATTGCTATCCCCTAAGTTTTCATTATCTAGCATAGATAATGGAAGTCAAGGATAATTAAAATCTACAAATTAACCACCCCCCAACATCTCACTTGAGAAAACCACTACATAACTATCGAAAAAAATGTCTCTTTCATTCAATTATGTTTTTAAAATGCTCAAGAGAAAAAAATAGGATGTTGCGCAATTAATAAGGACAACCTAGGTTGAAACTGCTATGTGACCTACTATGGCAGTTTAGTAAACAAGCTTAGGTAATATAATGTATACTAGACATTAATAGGAATAGATAGGATAGCAGTATAACAATCCTTTTCCTGATTGCAAGGAGACCATATTGGAAATGGAATAAGCATTTATGAAGTACCTACTACATGCCAGGCATTCTGATAAGCACTTTACAAATATTATCTCATTTGATAACACAAGAGTTCCTAATTCTTTTTTTTTTTTTGTATCATAGACCTCTTTGGCAGTCTGATGAAGCCTATGGAACCTTTCTCAAAATGTTTTTAAATGCATAAAATAAAATATATAAGCTTGCAAAGGAAAATAATTACATTTAAATAATAGCTATCTATATATATTACATCTATCTATCTGTATCTATCTATCTATCTATCTATCTATCTATCTATCTATCTATCTATCCACACACATATTTGAAAGCCACATTCATAGACCCTTGGTAAAGAATACCTGCCATGATGAGATTTGATGCAAGTTCTGAAGCAGGGAAGGCTCCCCCCCCCCCGCCTCTTTTTCTTTGCTTTTGGCCACCAGAGAGAGGCTATGTTGGGGACTAGAGCGGTGAGAAGTCATATGGAGGTAAAGTTCATTCTTTTCCAGAAAAGGTGTGAGAATTTTTGTCAAAGCCCAAGTAGATTCAGAAAATAATCTGCATCTTTGTGGTGGCAACCCTCATACTCACTTCAGTGTCCTAGGCACAAAGACTTAAAAAAAACCACCTGACATCAAGGATCAATCTCCCCATACTATTTAAGATAACTAAGACTATGCTGTTACTCCTAAGGCACTCTATTCACTGTGCTGGATGCCAGGTCAGGAAGACCTGAGTTCAAAGCCTATCTCAGGCATTTACCAGCTGTGATCCTGGGCAAGTCACTTAACTAGTGTCTGCCTCAATTTTCTCATCCGTAAAATGAGCAGGAGAAAGAAATGGCAGACTACTCCAGTGTCTTTGCCAAGAAAACCCCAAAGGGGAACATGAAGAGTTGGACATGACTGAAACAACTGAACGCAACAAAATGGGGATAATAATGTTAACCTCTCAGGGTTGTTGAAAGAATAAAATGAGATATTTGTAAAATATTTTGCAAACCTAAAAAGCCTTCTATAAATGTAATCTATTATGATAGCTATTATTATTATTCTATCAATCAAATTTGTTAAACTTGTTGAAAAGTCTTTGATCAATTTGGAAGGAGTGAAAGCCAGTGAATAAAATAAAATGAAATGATGCTGCACAAAAAAATGCACTGGGGCTGGTTAAGGAGATTCAGTCCCACCCTGAGGTGTGTGTATAAAATAGTGAGCTAGTGCATTCAAATGGCTGGCCAGCCTAGAAGAGAGAGCTGCACACCCAAGCCACAGAAAGTCAGCAGTTTAATGGGAGTAAGGGGAAGGAGGGAAGAAAAGGCTTTGTCCTTCCACCCGTTAACCACAGGATGATCTTGTAAACTTCAAAAGGTTGGGAAATTTGGATTTCCCATCAGTGTCCTAGAAGTGTCCCTAGAACAATAGCTTATTGGGGCAGCTAGGTGGTACAGTGGATAGAGCACTAGCTCCGGAGTCAGAAGGGCCTGAGTTCAAATGTGGCCTCAGACACTTGACACTTGCCAGCTGTGTGACCCTGGGCAAGTCACTTAACCCCAATTACCTAGCAAAAAGGGGGGGGAAAGAAGCAATAGCTTATGAAGCACTGTCAGCATCAGAAGCTAAGCACAAACTAGACAAACCGTAGAAAGATGGCTTCAGAGTCCCCCAAGGAACAAGGCAGAAAGCTGTGCCGTGCCTAAGCAGAACTTCATGGCTACGGCACAAAAGCAGAAAACGGCTTCCAGCAACCAGGAACAATGAGTTACCTCTTTGCCACGTGTGTACAAAGTTTTAAGCCCATTTTCTCCTTCACTCTGTCTGCACTTGTGGGAGATCGTGCTCCCAATTTGGAAGGGGGATGCTTTGGACCAACTGTTCTTATTATACTACCTTAATAAATACCCCCTAAGAGCTATTTAAGTCTTGCTAGCTAATTGATATCAATTGACAGTCATTTGGGAAAGCATACCAGTGGAAGCTCACAAGCAACTGAATTAGAGAAATATTCCCAGTGTCTCGGATTTTCTTTTAGACAGTTTGGTAATGGGTGGGCAAAAATGGTGGTACATAAATGAAATGGATTATTATTTTACCACAAGAAATGATGAAAGATGATTTCAGAGCATGGTGGGTAGTATGAATGGATATAGAGTGAAATGAACAGAATCAGGAGAATAATTTATATAAGGACAAAAACTCAGTAAATAAAAACAACAATTTTTATTGCTGTTTTTATTTACAGTGTTTATTTACAGTTTGTTTTTATTTCTAATTCTAAGAACTCAAAGCAGTTCAATAACTAGCCATGTCTCCAGAGAGCCTATGATGATGCATGCTATCTATCTCTTGACAGAGAAGTAATGGACACATGGTACAGAAAGAGACATTCAATTTTGGACATGGGTCACTATATGGATTAAATTTAACTTGACTATGCATATTTATTGCAAGGTTTTATCCCCCTTCTTTCTTCCAGTCCTAATGGTAGGAGGAGAAAGTAGCAATAGCAGTGCTAAAAAAAATTTTTAAAAGGAGGGTCATTTTTGAAACATTTTTAAAATGCATTGAAGGTACCAAGGAAGTTCAGAAGGAAGCACAGATAAAAAGGACAGTTTTGAAAGTAACCTGCATATTTTTAAAAGTAAGCGGTATGAAATGGGGAATCATATTTTGATGTAGAATCTTCTTTTTGTTTTACACTGTGTGTATGGAAATGTTATATTATCATATTAAGTTGAGAATATAATTTTTTTTCATAAAGAAGCCCTTAACCCCCCAGGGTTACCTCTAGAACCCTGAAGAGAGAAATATTCAGTCCACCTCTGATGACCCAGCCTGCCAGTGTGAGTTAGAGTTGGGAGAGTGAGCTTAGAGCCTGTGTGCTACACAGAGACTACACTAATCAAAGTAAAATTGCCTTGTTTCCACTCCATCTCCTTCAATTTCCTTTTCTTCTCTTGGTTGAGGACCTAATGGCCAGTGAAATGACCAAAAGGCTGGCACTCAGGGAGAAGAAAAAGAGAAGAAAAGGCCCTGTAAAATCTACAAACTGAATTCCCAACCACCAGATATTCAAAATAGGCTATCCTGCTTAGCCATTGACCATGTACAACACCAAATTTCTAAACCTACTGCAGTTGTAGAAGCACAGCATAACTGCTGTCCTCAGCATTATGGAAATATTGAGCTCTCTCTTAGAAATTGAATGATTACTTGGGATAACTCTTTTTTCCTCCCTTTCAGTGTTGAGAAAAGCACATACTTTCCCCCAAGAAGATAAATACACAAGAGAATTCATAGAAAACTATCATTCTGGTGGAAAAGTTGGAGGAGAACAAGAAAGCCTAGCGCTCTACCATTCTTGACTTTTGAACAAACCTACAGAGGGCTACACTTTGCCATTTTGCCTTTTTAACCTAAAGACTAATGAATCAGTCAGTTTCATAATTATGTAAAACAAAAATTGCTGCAAATATATTTAAGTACGCAACTCAAAAAAAAAAGTGTCTGGTCTGAACTGTCACAAAACAAGTTTTAACTTGGAAGAATTGTATCTTTGACAGGAATGCACTGGATTGAGCTCAGTAATTTGGATTCCTACTAATCCAGAATCTGAGACAATTCAGGTGGGAGAAGGAGGGTTTACTTTTGCATAAAACAAAGAAAAAAGATTTGGTTCAGAAAACCAAAACACATAAATACGACGGGATGGACAGGTTAAGAATACTTCAATCTAATAATCAAAAAAATTTTCATTAAGCACTTACTATATGCAAGGTCTCTGCCAAGAAAACCCCATGGACAGTATTGAAGGGCCTGGCTTGCTATGGTCCATGGGCTCACAAAGAGTTGGACAGGACTTCACAACTGAATAACAACAGTAACAAAATATTCAAGAAAATGTGCTAATTATTGGGAGCACAAAGAAAAAGCAAAAAGCAAACAAACAAACATTCCTACCTTCCAAGAGTTTATGTTCTATACAAGCAATTCCCCAATTGATAAATGGTCAAAGGATATGAACAGGCAGTTCTCAGATGAAGAAATTAAAGCCATCTATAGTCATATGAAAAAATGCTCTAAATCATTATTGATTAGAGAAATGAAAATCAAAACAACTCTGAGGTACCACATCACACCTATCAGATTGGCCAACATGACAAAACAGGAAAATGATAAATGTTGGAGAGGATGTGGGAAAATTGGAACGCTAATACATTGTTGGTGGAGTTGTGAAATGATCCAACCATTTTGGAGAACAATTTGGAACTATGCCCAAAGGACCACAAAAATGTGCATACCCTTTGATCCAGCAATAGCACTTCTAGGGCTATATCCCAAAGAGATCATACAAATGGGAAAAGGACCCACATGTACAAAAATATTCAAAGCAGCTCTTTTTGTGGTGGCAAAGAATTGGAAATTGAGAGGATGCCCATCAATTGGGGAATGGCTGAGCAAGTTGTGGTATATGAATGTAATGGAATACTATTGTTCTATAAGAAATGATGAACAGGCTGACTTCAGAAAAGCCTGGGAAGACTTATATGGTCTGATGCTGAGTGAAGTGAGCAGAACCAAGAGGATTTTGTATACAATAGCAGCCACATTATGCAATTACTAAGAATGTTAAACTGAGCCCTTCTCAGCATTACGAGGATCTAAGACATCTCCAGAGGCCTCGGGATGGAAAATGCTGTCCACATCCAAAGAAAGAACTATGGAAGTCGAATCGCTCTCACTTATTTTTACCTTCAGTTGAGTTTTGTTTCATCTTTCTGATGGTTCCTCCTATTGGTTTTAATTTTTACTTACAACCTCACTAATGTGAAAATATGTTTAATGGGTATGTAAAAAAAAAAGAGTTTATGTTCTAATGGAGTAGACAACACAAACATAAATCAATCAACAGTTGAAAGTGGCATTGGAAGAGAAAGAATGAGCAGCTAAAGATACCGGAAAAGGTCTCCTGCAGGCAGTGGCATTTGAGCTGAGGTTTAAAGGAAGCTTCAGCATTGCTACAAGGTAGAGGTTAGGAGGGAAAGCAGTCCAGGCAGAGAAGACAGCCAGCGCAAATGGTTTTCAAAGAATTAAGCACACTGATCGCATGGAAATAGTATTGTTAATGATATGTGATTTTCAATTGACTTCTTCTTTAACCACGACAATGTAGAACTTCCAATAGGAAATCCTTTGATAATGTCCCTGAAATAGAAACTCCAAGGGTATTTCTTTCAGTACCAATCCTACTACTACCAACCATAGCTTTGCACTAAAATTCTCCTCTGATGCTTCATTTTGGTAGAGAATCGACCTTGGGTAATCAAAAGCTATGCCAGCAAAAGCTCAAGCTGTGGCAGGGTCTATCCTTTCATAGGAAAGAGCCTATGACCTGATACCAGGCCATTTATCCCTCCAAAGATGAGTCCAAGTTCAGAGAGGCTCATTCATCATCAGATTCCACCACCAGGAAGCAGCTAGAAGCAGTTCAGTTGGTCAACAATAGAGCACTGGACCTGGAATCAAGAAGACCTGAGTCTAAATCTGACCTCAGATAGATTTGTGACCCTGGGTGAGTCAATTAACCACTGTCTGCCTCAGTTTTCTCAACTCTAAAATGGGAATAATAATAGCACCTACCTTCCAGGGCTGTTGTGAAGATCAAATGAGATAATACTTGTAAAGTGCTTAGCACAGTACCCGAAACTAGTAGGAGCTGAACAAATACTTATTCCCTTCCCCTCCTTTGGTCACAGAGATTCATTAATAATAATAGCTAACATTTATATAGTATTTAAAAGTGTGTGAAAGCATTTTTTACAGATATCTCATTTTATCTTCACAATAACCCTGGCCAGTGTTATCACTATCCCATTTCACAGATAAGTAAACTGAGGCAGACAGAGTTGTTAAGTTACTTGCCAAGGCTTACAAGGCTAAGTAAGTGTCTGAGTCTAGATTTCAACTCAGATTTTCCCAAGTCAAGGTCCAGGGCTTTATCCATAGTACTACCTAGCTGTCTCCATGAAACAATCCACCAGCGCCTGGAGAGGCTGCTATGTGGACCATCCCTCACATTGCTAAAAATCACAGATGTTTGAAGTACTGACATGGAAAAGACTGGAGGTGGATCTCAGGGATCTGTCCCAAGATTTTCATCAGCGATTTGGATAAAGGTGTAGATGGAACCGGGATAAAATTTGCAAGATGACATAAAGTTCTGGAAGTGACAGACAACACCCTGTATGACACTGGGGATCCATGAGGGTCTTGAGAAGCTATACCATTGTGCCAAATCTAATAAATGACTTTTAATAGAGAAAAATATAAACTCATATGTGCATTAAAAAATTTCAATTTGACAAGTATGAGGCCTGAAATTATAATAGTAATAACAATAATAGCTTACATTTACATCACGCCTGACAGTTTACATAGTGTTTTCCCAGCATTTGGTTTCAAAAATGCTTGAAAAACGTAAAAACTAAAATTGGACACATCCATTCAGGCTGCCTCCCCTTCCTCCTAATTTGTCCGAAGTTGTGTTATTTCAGTTGTAATTAATTAAATTCAGCATTTATTAAGCACTTACTGTGTGCAGAGTACAAAATGAGCAAGATACATTTCTTTCCACAAACTGAGATTTGGATAAGATATATCTATTTTTAACTATAATAGAATTTAATAAGAGTTGGTCACTCTTGTTTTCTGAGGAATAGGATTGGGACTAGACCTGTGATTTTATTAGTATAGGGAAATCCTAGATGAGGAAACTTCCTCCACCAATGCAGGTCACCACCTTTTCTGTAATCAATAGTCTTAGTTGCTTATGACACTAAGAAATTGAGCAATTGCCCATCCACAGTCTTATAGCCAGTATGTGTCAGAGGAAGGATTTAAACTAAAGCCTTACTATCTGTAAGGTCTGTTCCCTAACCACCATTTTGTTCAGTCATTGCACACATATCCGACTCTTCATGACCACATTTGGGGTTTTCTTGGCAAAGATATTGGAGTGGCTTGCCATTTCCTTCTCCAGCTCATTTTACAGATGAAGAAACTGAGGCAATCAGAATTAAGTGACTTGCCCAGGATCACAGTGCCAGTAAGTGTCTAAGGCCGGATATGAACTCATGAAGTCTTTTTGACTCCAGGCCTGGCATTCTATCCACTGTGCCACCTAGCTGCTCCTATCCATTGTGCCTGACTGCCTTTTAGTTCCTGGAGAACAAATCTATAAATTTTCCTTTACTCACTGCTCCCAAAATAAGACTAGGAACACCTTGTCCCTTAACCAGGTACTGGTCTGAGCTGCTGCCATAAAACTCAAGACTTCCTATGATATTAGCATCTAAATTAAAATCTTACTTAATTTCAGACAGCATATCAAATTTCAGCGACTTCTTATCCAGTTCCTAGACTTTATAAAAATTAATTATGTATGCATTCAACTAGCAATGGAAAGACATGATCGGTTCTGTAATTCAGCAACCAGACTGAAATCTTCTGGCTAATTTGAGGCAGGCCACATGACTGGATCCAGACTTTAAATTCTGACACTGAAATTGTCACAACAATGCCCATTACACTGCTATTTAAGTTTAAAACAACCCGGATTGACTTGTAGGAATTGTCCATAAGCTCATCACCTGTGAACAAATCCCCTGGGCCACTAAATGTTATGGTTAGTACACAGGAATTTCTGGTCTCCCTCTTCAACTTCTCCTCATTCTATTGAACACAAAAATCCTAGAATGATAGAGCTGGAAAGGACCATAGAGGTCAACCAGTCCAACCTTTTCATTGTGCAGAGGGGGAATCTGAGGCCTAGGGTCATACAGCAGTCAATGACAAAGCCAGAACTTAACTCCAGGTCTTCCAAGTCATTTGACCCCAAGTTCAGTTCTTTTTACTATACTCTATTTTGACATGTCCTACTTTTCACATATCCAAAAATATCTTCTCAAATAAGATCAACTAGCACTTTACTCAAAAGAAAAGGATTATGTCCTAACATCCTTGGTTCAATTTTTCATTTCTTTCTGAAAACTAAGCTAAACTGGGATTTCCTTTTATAAAACTTATATAAAGAGTAGAAAACCTTTCTCCCCATGAATGGCCACCGATCCACAGGGAGAAAAGATCAATGGATGGATGCACAAAAATAAAGAAGAGACGCCATTTAGATTCTTGAGAGGAGGGAGGGAGGGAAGAAAAGGAGAGACAGAGAGACAGAGACAGGAAGACAAAGAGGAGAGAGAAAGAGCGAAAGAGAGAGGAGAAAGGAGAGAGGGGGAGAGAGAAAGAGAGAGAGAGAGAGAGAGAGA